CACCAAAGGCCTTGTTTGAGGAACGCATGTGTTTGTTGCAAGGACATTGAATTGCATTGCATTGAAGTTAAACTTGCATTGTCTCCTAAGCCTCTGCCTTTAAATAGTCAATGACTTCCCTTGTCATAAATGAAATCTTCAGTTTACTTGGATGTTACTTTGATTCACTCTCTTGGGTCTCTGTCGGGGAGACCCTCTCTAATCCTCTTGGGTCCTAAACTAGAGAATCATTCTGACTTTCACCTTCCTCAACACCCTGTCTCTCTGCTGTTAGTCTTTGCTCAACATTGTCTGTTGCATCCATTCCTTCCTTCTATAACCAGTGGCACTACCCCCACCGAGATTACTATTGTTGACATTGTAGGAGAGGTGCTTACTGAGGTCAATGTCTCCAAGAGGAGGCCAGCTAACTCTCTCTCCAGGGCTACCTGGATGAATTTATCAATTCATTCAGGCTGACCAATGCCCAAAGTCCACTGGGGAGGCTCAGAATCACAGTTTCATTAGAAATTTCAGAAACGGACTCACTAACCAAGCTCACAAATGCTAAAGCATAAGTAAGAATCTCAATGTAGTAATATTCCATAAGAAATCCTGCAGCCACACAGGCCAGAATGACTAATATATTCTCTTTCTGGCATATCTGTGTAGGAAGTCTTTGCAGCAGTGTTTCCTGCTCCAGCAAAAGTCCTGCCCATAAGACTATAAATCTTCAGTCCAAAAAGCCAACACACTACAACTTCCTTTTTTATTTCCTTCCACTGCTAACAAATTCCAGGGATGACTGCCATTTTCTTTACACGTGCTCGTAGATTCCATTCGATTACAGTCAAGCCTTGATGGCCTGGGGGAGGTTATTCTGTCTCTGTGTCCAGGTTCTTCACCTTATTGTGCATAAAATTAAATACAGAGGATGACAAAGGAAACCAAATGTGTTGAAATGCCATTATTAAAATATTTCTTAAATTGTCATATAGTAATATATGTGCATCTTTATTAGTTACAAAATGTAGCCCTGGGTGTCATAATTTTAAAGTAGCAATGAGCATAAAGAATATTTCAAAATGTATCCATCAACTGTATGTGATATGAGTATATCTGTGATTTCTATTGGTGATAAAGTCACAGTTACTGCTCATAACTACTCTGGCTTATTATCTACATTCATAATTTAAGAAAATGCTAAACTGCAATCAAAGTCTTGTATAAAGATATAATTTTTTTCTCATCCAGTAATCACAGGTTTCCTGAATTCTGCTTACAGACATCAAGGATCTGTGGAGCCCGGGTTAAGAGCCCCGACTGAGCTGATGTGGCGTGGCTCTGCTTTTCTCACGACATGCTGATTTCCTAGTGTATTTCTCACATCACAGTTTCTAAGTTCTTGGGCAACTCATTCCATTTCATAAATACTACCTATCGTTATTAGGTATATTCTCCATCTTTGCATAAACATTGTTTTTTACATTTGCAAATGTATGAGACAATCACCAAAAGCTGGAAACAACTGAAATGTCTGCTAAGTGGTGAACTGATAAATTGCATTATATCTACTCCATTGAATACTACTAGCAAATTAAAGAAAAAGTTAATAAAAACATGCAACAATATGGAGGAATATTAAAAGGAATTATGCCAACTCCAAGCAGCAATACTGACAAGGCTATTTACTGCAGGACTCAATGGGTATGACTTTGTGGAACAGGCAAAACTATAGAGGCAGAAAACAAATCAGTGGTTGCCAGAGGCTGGGAGGAAGGAGGAAATTCACTACCAAATGGTGTGAGAAAACTTTTTGGATGGAAATATTACAACTCTTGATTCTGTTGTTAATTACATGACTTACATACATTTGTCAAAATTAATATAACTGTATACCTAAAAAAGAATTTTACCATATGTAAATGATAGTGCAATATATCTTTTAAAAGTATGATAAAATATATTCAGACCTTCACATAATAGAGGTCTTTTCAATAACGTTTTGTTGAGAAAATACAAGTGTGCATGTAGACTGCAGAATCTGCAATAACTCCAGAAAGGCAGGGGTGCAGGTAACCTTGACCCACAGGCTGGACCCTACTGATTATCCAACCATATTAGTGTCCTAAATGGCCACTTAGCCTGTATATTTTTCTCCTCCAGCCTCCTCCAGGCTTAGTCTCTCCAGTTTCCACCCTGTTGTTCTGTCAATAACCCAAAACTCTCAATAACCCTTTTTTTGTGTTCTGTCAATAACCCAGAACTCTCAGAACTCTCCATAACCCCTTTATATAGGCTTGTTAGTGGAAAGGACTTTGAAGGTCATGAATTGCCAACTCCGACTCACTGCCAAACCCCATCCCCAGTACTCCTGCCTGCGGGTCAGCAAGCTTCTACCTGGGTACCCTAGTGGCAACGGGGCACCCCACCTCATGGAGGTAGAGTGCTCCGTGGGTAACAGCCCGAATTACCAGATAGGTTTATGTTCTTACTTACAGAGAAAACTCAAACTTCTCAGGAGAGCACTAAAGATCCTCCACAGTCTGACTCCAAATGGCGTCTCTGGCTCATCTCATTAGGTTCATCTAATCCACGTGGTAGGCCCTGCTCTACTCCTTGTTCTCAGGCCACGCCTAGTGTTCTTCCACTTCTGCACCTGTGCTCATTCTGGTTTCTACGTCTTGAAAAACAAATTGTCTTTTCCTATAAACTTAGTGCTCAGAGACACTCCCTCATCCTTCCTTCTCTGAAGAGGCTCCAAGAGTCCAATAACATCTATGATAGCAATAACAAATATCATAGCCAAACACTCTTAACTAGGCCTCAGTGTGTTATGCTGAAATTGCCAGACCAGGTTTAGTTGCCAAATGAGGCCTGGGGCAGCTGGATTCCCTGGGGTCATTATCTCCAAATGGAGCAGTCGTCTTCTATTTATCCCAAAATGCTGATACATATACACACATACACACACAAAATAAATATGTGTGTATATATAATATATATAATTTTATCTATATAAAAATTATTTTTATGCATGTGGAAAACTGAAGAAGCACAGCATTCAGATGTCTCTATGGCTCAGAATGCATCAGATCCCAGGCTCTAGAACTACTCCTACCCCTCCTGACCTGCTTGTTCCATTGTCTCCAGGACTATCCCACTGCCTCACCCCTGGTCCAACCTTCTCACCCTAGCCCATTAACACTTATGTTTCATCAGATTCTATGCTTGGTTACTACACCTGGGTTCTGGATTTTCCTTCATTCCTGGTTCCACAGCACTCACACCATTAATTTCTTCTTCCATCCCCAACAACTTGAAGCTCTCAAATGCTTTCCCATTTGTATGGGAGAGGAATTCCACACACTGTTCTCTTTTTCCTCTGTAGATTGTATTTCTCCTTGATGATCAAGCTTCAGTCTCACCTTTTCACAGACGCTTTCCACAACCCCAAAGTTACTTCCTCCCTCTGTGAATTATCGTCCACCTCATCAACTGTTTCCTGTTGACTGGGCATATTTTTTCCTACTTCTTTAACTTTTATTAAGTTCTGGGGTACATATGCAGGATGTGTAGGTTTGTTACATAGGTAAAAGTGTGCCATGGTGGTTTGCTGTACAGATCATCCTATCACCTAAGTATTAAGCTATTCTTCCTGATGCTCTCCCTCCTCTACTTGCCCCTCGTCCAAGAGGCCCCAGTGTGTGTTGTTCCCCCATGTGTCCATGTGTTTTCATCATTCAGCTCTCACTTATAAGTGAGAACATGTGGTGTTTGGTCTTCTGTTCCTGCATTAGTTTGCTGAGGATAATGGCTTCTAACTCCATCCATGTCCCTGCAAAGAACATGATCTCATTTTATATTATTTTATTTTATTTCTGCATAGCATTCCATGGTGTGTATGTGCCACATTTTCTTTATTCAGTTTATCATTGGTGGGCATTTGCATTGATTCCATATCTCTGCTATTGTGAATAGTGCTGCAATGAACATATACATGCATGTGTCTTTATAATAGAATGATTTATATTCCCTTGAGTATATACCCAGTAATGGGATTCCTGGGTCAAATGGTATTTCTGCCTCTAGGTCTTTGAGGAGTTGCCACACTGTCTTCCACAATTGTTGAACTAATTTACTCTCCCACCAACAGTGTAAAAGCATTCATTTTTCTCTGCAACTTCACCAGCATCTGTTGTTTTTTGACTTTTTAATAGTAGCCATTCTGAAGGGTGTGAGATGCTATCTCAGTGTAGTTTTGATTTGCATTTCTCTAAGGACCAGTGATGTTGAGCATTTTTTCATATGTGTATTTTCTTAATAATTAAATTATAAGCAATTTGAAGGCCATGCCTCTCTGGATAGCTCCCAGTGATGGCTAGCACACTGACTCACATAAGATGCTTAATAGTTGCTTATTTTAAATTAGTTGCTGAATTTAAAATATCTCTCTCAGTTCCAAGGTTGAAAGAAAATAGAAGTAACCAAAATCTATATCCTGAACCATGCACAGTGGATTATGGCCACAGAATCAGTATAGCTGATCTAAGGGATATGTAAGTACAGACACAGAGTCAACCAAATAAATCCTCTTTAATTCTGGCTGGTGCAATTGACCCATACTCTAGTGCGGTCTCCTGGTAAATGGGGTAAGTTATTCCACATCACAAGGATGTGTTTGGAGAAGAAATGGTATATATCATATCACGTATCCAGAAGGCCACACCCCACTTCCTCCTTCCTTCACAGATCATGGTAGCCTCCAACCTCGAACTTGTTTTGCTACACTAGCTGCATGAGAGTTGCAGGGGCAAAAAAAAAAAAAAAAGCCCAAAGGAAACCTGTCAACTAGATTCTTTCAAAAAAATATCTTAACATTTTAAACTTCCTCTTTTGTCTGCATATACACCTCGTAGGTAGGGGTGGGTGAGCTTTGAGTAACTCTAGAAGCTAAAACTCTAACTGTGTCTAGTAACTGTTTATGGATAAAATCTTCTAACACGTGTGTGATCACTAAGACAGATATGAACCTGGACCAAGCCATGGTGTCCTGCCTGAATCATCAGAGCTACTGATACACAGCAAAATCCCCCAGACTGTGACAGGTGTGTTCTCAAGCCACGGGTGGGACTGAAGTTGCCACTCTTGGTTATACAGTCCACAAATATGGGGCATGGCAACTTGCAGGCTAAGGGTTGTGGAAGAGTCTTACACAAGGGAGTTCTCAATGGTTGTTCCCAACTAGGTTGGCCCCCAAAATTCAACCAAGAAACTCAAACTACAATTAACAAATATAAAATATGGTCTAATTAATATATCCTAGATAATGTTTGCCTTTACTTGGCTGGTTATCTACATGGACAAGGGAAGAAGGGAAGATAAGGGAAAAGGCTTTTTGTGTGTTTATTCAACACTGGCGGAGGAGAGGCATGCCAGATAAGGCAGACACAGGCATTCCCAACACAAGAAAAGTATGTGCTACAGAGAAGTCAGATAACTTTCCTAGGGTCTCCTGCAGTCCAGATGAAATACTCTCAAAAAATTAGCCCGGGCCCTTTGCTCCAATTTCTCGCTTACCTAGCAACCATCTAACTATTAATTAAATTGGTATTATGGTTTTAACATGAATCTTTTATGATTTGCTTACCATTAATCAAACCCCTGAGGCTTATTCACCTCAAGGGGAGCTGACAAAATTGAATTATTCAACCCACAAAGATCCAGGGCCCCCAAATACCATCATTTCCACTCTCCCCTAACCCCACCATGAGGCCCAGTCTCAGCACTCGGAGTCCCAGCACTTTGACTCCAGACTACCTACATTTAATCTATGCCCCACTCTGGGTAATCAGCTTAGACACATTAATATTAGTGGGCATTTCAGTGTCAACAGATCACTGTCTGGCAGCTGACATGCACCCTCAGAAAATAAACCAAGAAGAAAGAGTTTATCTATAATATCAAAAATTTTCATAGATAAACCTGCCCATTATAAGGAAGAGGGCAGAAGAACCCTAAACTAAGAGCCAGGCAACTTGTTCATTAATCACAGCATATTTTGTAGGAGGAGGAGAAATGTCATCAAATTCATCTTTTTCACCTCAATTAAACATCTATGCTACAGCCCCACAGTCAGATTGAGAGGAAAAACAGTACGTGGCTAAGAAAAGACATACACTTGTAGCTGAAATGCTTCACTGGAGCTCCTTTTGTTTTAAGGCATTGGATCTTGATAGCCACTGATCGTGCCTAAGTACACGGTATCTGCAGCAACCACTTAGGCCTCCAGGAATGTGGTGACCATTGACCCTAATTCATTCCCCTTTATGGATCCTTTGTAACCATCCGCCGAAAAGAGCTTTCGCAAACTCAAATAAACACAGGAAAGGAAGACCTTCTTATCTTTGAGAGCATATGTTTAGCCCTATAACCCTCTCTTATCATAAATTGCTTCTTAGGCAAGAAACATTGGATTTTTCTTGTATTTGTCATTGCCATTGGTTCCATTCAAGCATTCATTTAACAAATAATGCGTTCCATCTCCGTTTTTTGGTTTTTCCTTCATGCTTTAGCCTTGGTTTTCTCTCACCTAAAACACTGCAAGCTGCCTCTCCCAGAGCTCTCACTTTGACTGCAGACTACCTACATTTAATCTTTAATTCTCTACCAAAATTTTCTCTTATTTTTATATCTTTTTAATTTTAATTTTTGTGGATACATAGTAGGTGTATATATTTATGGGGCACATGCAATATTTTAATACAGGCATGCAATGCAAAATAAGGACATCATGGAGAATGGGGTATCCATCTCCTCAAGCATTTATCTTTTTAGTTACAAACAATCCAATTACACTCTTTATTTTAAAATATACAATTATTAATTATAGTCACTCTGTTGTGCTATCAAATAGTAGATCTTATTCTATTTTTTGTACCCTCTCGTCTTTTCATGTTAAAAAATAATCTTTGTCTCTGTAAGCTTTATCAATGATTTTCCAATGAAATTTAGGATCTTCTCTGTACCATGAATTGCCTTACTTTCTCCCCACTTCCTTGTCTTATTCAAATGCAAATTTCATTAATGATTTCCAGATCAATGATAGTTCAGAAAGCAAACAAGTCAGTGACCAAGGGCATGCCCTGAAAGTGTTTTAAGAGAGGAATTTACAGAACAACTATTAAATGATGTCAATAGGATTGTATTAGTATGTTTTTATACTGCTATAAAGAACTGCCTAAGACTGGGTAATTTATAAAGGAAAGAGGTTTAATTGACTCACAGTTCAGCATAACTTTGGAGGCCTCAGGAAACTTACAATCATGGTAGAAGGTGAAGGGGAAGCAAAGCACCTTCCTCACAAGGCAGCAGGAAGAAGTGCCAAGCAAAGGGGGAAAAGCCCCTTGTAAAACCACCAGAACCTGTGCGAACTCACTCACTATTACAAGAACAGCTTGAGGGAACCGCCCCCCATGATTCAATTACCTCCACCTGATCTTTCCCTTGACACATGGGGATTATAATTCAAGATGAGATTTGGGTGGGGACACAAAGCCTAACCATATCAAGGATCAAGTGGTGGGTTGAAACTAACGGGATGAGATATGTCAGGTACAAACACAAGGTCCCATATTTGGGTTAAAATTCATAAATGATCAAAGCACAGGATGACAGATAATGTAGGTCATTTTAGATTATTGTGACCAACAGATCACAGTAGGTAGTATTCTGATGAAGGGAGGGTGACAGTTACTACAGTTACAGATGGATTCTGGGTACAACATTTGCACTAAAGTGCCTTTGCCAAGGGAGGCAACAGTCTCAACATCCTGTGGGTTGGCCTGATCTACTTCAGGGACTGTGTCTTGTTCAGAGCATCACATTTGAAGAGAAACTTTGACCAGGGGAGTATACCAGAGAAGGAAGTTCAGGATGCTGAGGATCTTAGGAACTATGTCTAAACAAGATTCATTCACAGAAGTGGGAATGTCTATTTGGCAAAAAGAAAATACTATTTACATCGTTGTTGGAAGACCAGCCATCACAAACTCAGTTTTCCAAAGGCTGGGCAGAAGCCCAGATGAGAGAAATGGGCCGTGTGTAAGAAAAGATAAAAGCTCAAGCATGATATGCCACCAGAAAATCACCTAGCCTCAGCATTGGCAGGGAGACCTGGGGAGTCGTGATGTCTGAGAGTGACCTTCTGATGATCACTGTCATGTGTAAATGTGGGCCTAATGCTGCCAACTTTTTTGATTTCTTAAGAGAAGCCAGAAATCCAAATTTTTATGCAGCATGTTTCAATTTTTAATTTTAGCAACTATTACAAAATGTTTAGAGACACTGTGCAGCCCAAATATAACATATCTATGGGATGATGGCAGCCCAGGGTTGCCAGTTCACAGGGTCTACAAGAGATGATTCTTAGTTTCAACAGGGTACAGTGCTGAAACGCATGCATAGTAGATTTGCTTGGGTCATGAATATGCTTCCACATATTTATGATTCATAGCCAGAGAAAAGACTCTCTATCCAGGTTCTGAGCAATAGGAAATTATCAAGAGGATATTGGATGACAATATATAGGGATGTTATTTGAGAAAGGATTTTCCCCTGAGGCAGAGGTGTTGAACCAAATTCTATTAGTTATGCTTTTACACCAGGATAGTGGCTTACAGTTTACAAAAGGCTTGTACATCATCTCATATTAAAGGTTACTAGAACAGTCCTTTGCAGTAGAAAAGTAGGTATTTTACAACTCATATTTTACAAATGAGTTGACCAAGTATCTGAGATAGTAAATAACTCATAGAAGGTCATCCGGGAAACGGGGCAGCAGAACTGGGATCGAATGACTCAGGTTATCCAACTCCAAATGCAAAAGTCTTTCTGCTGCTGCTTCCTAGTCAAACTCTAAGGGTCTAAGACTCTATTCCTAGTTATGGTCTCAACTACATTTGCTCATTGCTGTGAGGGGTGAGCCCACCTCCCGGAGTCCTCTCCTGCACATTCCCATGTTCCTGAAAGGATTTTCCATCCCTTCCACTACTCCCTGAAAACTCCTGTGCTTCATGATTTCTTGTTGAATTTTTTCTAATCTGACTCTATCAGTTATGGGAATGTTCCCTCAACTCTTAGTGCTCCAGACTGGACTCGCTCTTGGCATGTATTGGTCCAAAATATTTGTCTGCTCTATGTCTTCTACATATTTGTCTTATAAGGAACAAACACCTGATTTGTTTATCCATGAACAAAGCCACACATGCTAGTGCACACGCACATACACACACACACATACACACAGAGGATTCTGTACGTGATTAATGAATCATCAAATCATCATAATTTCTGGACTTGTATTAATACGTCGGCCAGGAGGAAAAGAATCCGTTGTCAATCATGGCTTCTGGTTCTCACGGTCATCTCTACTTTCTTCCAGCAAGTTTGATTCTGTCAAACACCAGCTGGCAGCTTTGTTCCCGCATGCCCAGTGCAGGAGAGTCAGTAAAGAAGATTTCATTCTCTGAATTTCAGCGTCGTCAATGCCAGGTTGAAATACGCTATTCTGGCCCAGCTCAGTGGCTCACACGTGTAATCCCAGCACTTTGGAAGGCCAAGGCAGGCAGATCGCTTGAGCCCAGGAATTCGAGACCAGCCTGGGCAAGAGGCTGAGGTGGGAGGATGACCTGAGCCCGGGAGGTCAAGGCTGCAGCCAGCTGTGATAGTGTCACTGCACTCAAGCCAGGGCGTCGGAGTGAGACCGTGTCCAAAAAAAAGGAAGGAAAGAAGGAAGGAAGGAAGGAAGGAAGGAAGGAAGGAAGGAAGGAAGGGAGGGAGGGACGGAGGGCGGGAGGGAAGGAAGATGCCATTCTTAGATTGAAGTGGACCTTATCTGGGCAGAACACACACACACACGCACACACATTGTGGAGAAATTGCTGACTAAGCAAAGCTTCCAAATGACTGAGTTTGGCTAAAACGTAGGCTTTTAAAAATGTGAGCACTGCCAAGGGTTTTTCCTTGTTGACCCATGGATCCATCAAGTGCAAACATTTTCTAATGCACTATATTTAAGCCTGTGCAGCCAAATGTCATTCAACATGAAATGCATTATTACAACTTGCATCTGTCTAAAATCTTGCATCAAAAATGAAAGACAAAAATGTATAAAAATGGAAAACATGCATAGAAATATGTGAGGGAGGAAAAAAATATCCCCAGGAATGTTAGTGCACGGAGTCACACAGGGAGAAGACTATTTTTGTTTTGTTTTGATTGTTTTGTTCTGGTGACCTCACTGGTCAAATGACCTATTAAGAATATTTTGTAGAGCTAATGTTCCGATGCTCTAATCTCTCTAGACAAGGTTCATATTTGTATGGGTTACTTATTCTCTCTTTGTTGACTAAGTCAATAATCAGAATCAGCAGGTTTGGAGTCAGATTGGCAGGGATAAGCAGCCTAGCTCAGGAGAAGTGGGTATAAAAGCCCCAGGCTGGGAGCAGCCATCACAGAAGTCCACTCGTTCTTGGCAGGATGGCTTCTCATCGTCTGCTCCTCCTCTGCCTCGCTGGACTGGTATTTGTGTCTGAGGCTGGTCCTACGGTGAGTGTTTCTGTGACATCTCGCTCCTACATTTAAAATGCACGCTAAATGAGGTAGGAGTGACTCCTTCCAGCTTTGCCAAGCAGCTTTTGTTACTAGGGCAAGGGTACCCAGCATCTATTTTTAATATCATTTATTCAAACTTCAAAAAGAATGAAGTTCCACTGAGCTTACTGAGCTGGGACTTGAACTCTGGGGATTCTGCCTCATTGCTTTGGTGCATTGGGTTTGTAATGTCTGGTATCTCCACTTCCTCAGATCGATGATAGAGATAAAGATATGATATTAAGGAAGCTGTTAATCCTGAATTTTCAGAAAAGTATCCCTTTATAAAATGTATTTGGGGGGCAAACTGCATGAGATTATATTCTGGCCCTATAGCTAATCAAAATGTATTTACCGATTAATCTTTAAAAGGCTTAGTGAACAATATTTTAGTCAGATATCTAATTCTTAAATACTCTAGAAGGATTAACTAATCTATAAAATGGGTCTGGATATAGTCTGACATAATTTTATAACAACCGGTAAGAGGGAGTGACTAGAGCAACAACTAAAATCATCTCAGGAAAAACTGTTTTGGTCCTATGTATGGTACGTTACATCTTTTCAGTAATTCCATTCAAATGGAGAAGTTTAACAAGGCAACTGTTCTCAGGGGGCCTATTCTCTCCCTTAAAATTCATTATACACATCCCTGGTTGATAGCAGTGTGTCTGGAGGCAGAAACCATTCTTGCTTTGGAAACAATTATGTCTGTGTTATACTGAGTAGGGAAGCTCATTAACTGTCAACACTTATGTTCTTCATAATGGAATCAGTGTGTAATTCTTGTTTTGTTCCAGATTTCTAACACCATAAAGAATAAATCCTTTCACTCTGATCAATGTTGTTAACTTCTCACTTGTCTTCTCTATACCCAGGGCGTTGATGAATCCAAGTGTCCTCTGATGGTCAAAGTTCTAGATGCCGTCCGAGGCAGTCCTGCCGTCAATGTGGCTGTGAACGTGTTCAAAAAGGCTGCTGATGAGACCTGGGCGCCATTTGCCTCTGGGTAAGAACCCTCCCACGGGACTTGGTTTTATCTTCCCATTGGCCCCTCAGTTGGTAGACAGAGGCTCACATCATCTGCTAAAGAATTTACAAGTAGATTGAAAAACGTGAGCAGAGGTCAAGTATGCCCTCTGAAGATGCCCTCTTTTTGTTTTGCTTAGCTAGGAAGGGACCAGGAACCTGAGCATCATTTAGGGGCAGACAGTAGAGAAAAGAAGGAATCAGAACTCTTCCCCTCTAGCTGTGGTGTGCAACCCTTTTGGGTCACAGACCACTTTATGTAGGTGATAAAAACTAAAGATTCTATGCCCAGAAAAAATGTACAGATACACACACACAAAACCATATATGTGATTTTAGGAGTTTCACAGATTCCCTGGTGTCCCTGGGTAACACCAAAGGTGAGAGTCCTCGTCTTAGAATTTTAGGAAAGAGGTGCAATGTGTATTAACCCACTAACGAAAGGAAAGGGATTCAGAAATATTATTGACTAGGCATCTGTCTGTAGTTCATTTGGATCACCCCAAACCCAGGGCTTTTGCCTAATGAACACTTTGGGGCACCTACTGTGTGCAGGGCTGGAGGCTGTCAAGCTCAGTTAAAACAAATGTAAAAAAAGACAGAAGAAATGGATCCATGAGGCAAAGTACAGCCCCAGACTAATCCCATGATCACCCAACTTCATGTGCAAGAGTGACTTCTAACCTTCATGAGCCAGTTTACAATTTTCATGGAGTTTTTCTACCTACACTACAAAAACTCCAAGGAAAATATATATTAATAAACCTAAGCGAATTGACCGAAAGACAGAGCAATAAGGAGACCCTTCGCACCCAGCAGAAGAGGAACTGTTAAGTACTTACTTCTCCTCAGAGAAGAATTTCTGTTGTATTTTAATTGAACCCCAAGAACCACACGATTCTTCAACCATTATTGGTAAGATCATTTTCTTAGGTCTGGTTTTAACTGACTTTTTATTTGGTAATTCATTTATGTTTATATAAAATGCCAAGCATAACATGAAAAGTGGTTACAGGACTATTCTAAGGGAGAGAGAAAATGGATACCAAAAATATTCCAATGTTCTTATGAATCTTTTCCCTTCCGTCAGGACAAAAAAAAAAAAATGTAAAGAAGAAAGGAGGAGATGCACAATCAGAGTCAGTAAAGACAACTGCTATTTTTATCTGTCATAGCTGTTGCAGTCTAATGGGAAGCAATTTCCAACATTCAACTATGGAGCTGGTACTTACATGGAAATAGAAGTTGCCTAGTGTTTGTTGCTGGCAAAGAGTTATCAGAGAGGTTAAATATATAAAAGGGAAGAGTCAGATACAGGTTCTTCTTCCTACTTTAGGTTTTCCACTGTGTGTGCAAATGACCCTCCCTGGTGGTGTGCAGATGCTCTGAAAGGTATCCTCACACCACAAGGCAGAGGAGCGAGACCCTGCTGTCCTGGAGAAGTGCAGAGTTAGAACAGCTGTGGCCACTTCCAGGGATGGTCACAACATCCCATCCAATCATCAATCTTGAACAACAAGGACTCTTTCTTAAGAAAACATTATACCCAGCCGGGCGCGGTGGCTCACACCTGTAAATCTCAGCGCTTTGGGAGGCTGAAATGGGCATATCATCTGAGGTCGAGAGCTCAAGACCAACCTGGCCAACATGGCAAAACTCCGTCTCTATGAAAAATACAAAAATTAGCCAGGCATGGTGGCAGGCACCTGTAATCCCGGCTACTCGGGAGGCTGAGACTGGAGAATCCCTTGAACCTGGAGGCAGAGGTTGCAGTGAGCTGAGATCACGCCACTGCACTCCAGCCTGGGTGACTAGAGTAAAACTCTGTCTCAAAAATAAAAAAAAATTTAAAAAATTATACCTACATTCTCTTCTTATCAGAGAAAAATATCTACAGTGAGCTTTTCAAAAGTTTTTACAAACTTTTTGCCATTTAATTTCAGACAGTTATGAGTTTTCCCTACTTCTGACTTAGTTGAGGGGAAATGTATATAACACATTTATGTGTGTTGTGTATATAACACATATAACACGTTTATGTGTGTTGGTGGGGGTATTACTTTGCCATGCCATTTGTTTCCTCCATGCCTAACTTAACCCAGACTTTCACACCTTATAGGAAAACCAGTGAGTCTGGAGAGCTGCATGGGCTCACAACTGAGGAGGAATTTGTAGAAGGGATATACAAAGTGGAAATAGACACCAAATCTTACTGGAAGTCACTTGGCATCTCCCCATTCCATGAGCATGCAGAGGTGAGTATATAAACCTTCGAGGGTTGTTTTGGTTTTGGTTTTTGCTTTTGGCATCCCAGGAAATGCACAGTTTTACTTAGCATACCACAGAAATGTCCTAAAGAAGGTGATGAATGACCAAAGGTTCCCTCTCCTCTTATACAAGAACAAATTCACAACACTCTGAGAAGCACATTTCTTTTTGACTTTGAGGAAAACCCATTTAGTAACATGACTTGAACTTACATGACACTATTCATAGTCTACTCATTCCATTTTATATGAATATTGATGTATTTGCCGTTGAAATAACATGTTTATGAGGCAGACCTCCAGACCCCACGTAGAGTGTATGAAACAAGAGATGCACCATTTTATTTCTCTAAAACCTGTAACATTCTTCATTCCAAAACACATCTGGCTCCTCGGAGGTTTGGACAAGTGATTCTTGGCAACACATACATAGAGAGACAATAAAATCAAAGTAATAATGGCAACACAACAGATAACATTTACTAAGCATACACCATGTGGCAGACACAATTATAAGTGTTTTCTATATTTAACCTACTTCATCCTCAGGAACAAGCCACTGAGGTCAGTCCTATTATTATCCCCATCTCATAGATGAAGCAAGTGAGGCACCAGGAAGTCAAATAACTTGTCAAAGGTCACAAGGCTAGGAAACACACAAGTAGAGATGTTTACAAACAAGGCCCAGGCTGGGTTTGCCCTCAATTCTGCTCTGCCTCGCATTGCGACCCAGGAAATTTGTTCCCCTGTGAAAAGCCAAGCTTAAAAAAAGAAAAGCCACATTTGTAACGTGCTCTGTTCCCCTGCCTATGGTGAGGATCTTCGAACAGTTATACAGCTCCCTGTCTTCCCCTTGTCTTAATTTCTTCAGTCATT